TGATGGAAGGCTTATTTGTGGCAATTACCATTTGCTATTTAACGCATATTACTTTAATCGGTTTTAATTCGTGCGTTGTTTATTTTTTTGGCTTTCCATTTAAATACAACACATCAGGTGCATGCATACATATGTATGTACATTAGACTGCGCCTTATTTTTCAACTTTGTCCTACAAAGCAAGACATCCCCCAGAACGGTTCATTTGATCATAAAAACGTCGCCTGCGGAAAAGTTTTTAAAATCGGATAACGGAGAAACTTGCCTCAAAGGCTGTAAAGTTCAAAAAGTTCATGGAATCTTTCACAAAGTGGTCAAAATTGCCTACAAAACAGTGGGAAATTTAATACATTTTAATGACACGTGATGAATAAAAATTTTCTAGGTTTTGAGAAGTTAATTTTTAGCCCAATAAACTTAGATCAAATTGGTACGAAAATAAAAATTAACTTCTCAAAGCCTTGAAAATTGCCAAAGTTGTAGAGAATTTGATTCTCCATAACTTTTGTACGAACATTAGAGGTCTTCCCTTAAACTCGTAAAAGCCTCGTAAAGCTCGTAAATTTACGAGGTTCGTAAAAGAACTGTCAAAATTTGCATGGGGCTCTATTTACGAGCCCATTAAAAACTTGATGCGCAAACGACCACGTAAACTTCAGTCTTGTCGAGGGCCCAAAATTGTTATACTTAAATGTATGATAAAATAATGAAAATAAATGAAAAACACCATACGCGAATAAAATGAATGAATTTCATCCACTAACTGTATTGACTTAAGTTTTCTGCTGATTTTCGACATTTTGAATTGTATTTTAGCCAAGAGTGATAGAGACAATCTTGCGGGATGTTATGGAAAACACTACGAAACAAAAATTGTTTCACAAAGTCCTGGTGGATCTATAAAACAGTCAACTTACGCTCCTAATTACATCTTTTCACAAAGGGGGCGTTCCCATAAAAACCTCGTAAACTTACGAGTTTTACACACTTTAAGACTTTACGAGTTTAAAAGAATCCCCTTATTATTTTTGTGCGACGCTTAGATCACGAGCGGGAACGTGCTGAACATAGCGATGTAAGGGAAGCGGCTTTAAATTCATTTCCACATCACGTCAACTGGTACAGAACGGTGGCCAAAATTCTATAGGACGGATTACAGAGATTAGGGTCTGAAATGATCGCATAAATGTTCAACATGGTGTCTCAAATATGTCATTTAACTAACCGTAAATTAGATTCTGCTTTTTTTTTAAAGCTTATATATAAAAAATGTGAGAAATTAAATTCTCTACAAATTTGTATACAACCGATTTTTACGAGAAATTCAAAATAATCTTGCAAATTGCAAAAAAAAACCTAAAATCCAAGATAGCGGAATGTTCCCGTATGAAATTTAGGGTCAGGAGAGTGGATCCTTATTCTACGAGTGAAATAAAATTAAGCTGCATCAAAAGTACGCTACTACAATTTTGTTTTTGTTCCTACCAATTTCATGTAAGTTTACTGGATTAAAATTTAACTTCTCAAATCCTATTAAATTGTAATTTGACGTGCGAAAACCCTCAATAACTTTAAAACTTGGGGAGGTTTAAAAATATTGTAACCATATTTGAAATCTGGGGCTCAAGTTCCATTAAAACATATTAAATTCCTCACTGACTTATAGGCAATTTTGGCCGCTTTGCGAAAAATTGCATGCAAATGCTGTATTTTAGGGCCTTTGAGGAACGTCTTTCAGTTATCCGATTTTAATAATGTTTTGCAGGGCACGTTTTTATGACCAAAGGAACATTTCCAAGGGGGAGTCTCGCTTTGTAGCTGAACAAAAAAATTTCTCCATACAACTAAGGCGCAGTCTAATGTATATACTAGGAATGTTAATCCTGGGATCCCGGCCTCCTCGGGATTCTTGGCAAATAATCTCGGGATTTTCGGGATTTGTAATATGCACTGATGGCAATAATAGAAAATCCTTTCTTGACTAGTATTGGCTATATTTCTTATGTTTTGAATAACAAATGTTTTTTTTTTATAAATGTTTAGCACATTATACAAATAACGCCGTACGATAGTAAATTTTACACAAAAAAATCAATATATTCGCCTATTATAGTAAAATTGGGTTTTTAGATTTTCACTCTGAGGTGGAGTGGTTCTTTGTTTGAATCCATTATTGCATTTTTAATGAGTTACTTGGAAATCTTTACAGTATCCTCCTTACAGTGTATCAAATTTTTCTTGATCATTTTCAATGTGTACGTTTGATTTATGACTACAGCCACTGTGCATACTTACAAGTGAAAAAGGAATCAGATGTTTTCCAGAAACGCCAGCTGAGATCACCCGATTTCAATTGCTACAGGATTGCACTCAATTTCAAAAAAAAATTTAATGCTTAATGCCGCTTAAACACCCTGTCTAATTTTTTGACAAAATAATTGTACGTTTTGACAGGATATTTTCCAGGCAGAAGAGGAACATTTGTCCCTTATAAGTACGCACAATGACTACACCCAACAAATTGCAACATGCAATTCTAGCTAAATGTATGTGAAATAGCTTAATACCCAACAATTTTATAATGAGCTCGAGGCCATTTTAAATGAAAATTTATTGTGGAAAAGCAACAATAATTTGAAAAAATG